GTTTAGATAATAACAACTGTCTCTCTTAACAAAGTTTACCTGAATGTTGGAAGGTAATATGTTTCTGTGAGCCTCATACATAATATTATAGCCAACCAAACCATAGAATTTCAAAATTTTCATTTTGCAAAATAATGTATTTGATGGATGGTTGTAATATTTTCTTATTTATCTGATAAGTACAGTAGTTGGTTACCTGTGGTCTGAGGTCTTGAGCTCAGCCCTGCCATAGTACTTCAAAGAACCAGGGTTCCAGGTGTACTCTGGGTCATCCTCATTCTCCCCTGATGCAGAGGTGCCACCAACAACATTCATCGCCTCAGCTGGAAAACGAGTCCAAAACAAACAGGTGTGCTAATTTCAGCAACACAAGTCCAAACATTTCAGATTCTGAATTAGTTTTAGTTCAGCACGACTCGTCTGCAGCTCCTCTGCCACCAACCTGTCCTGTTAAAGTTCCACTTTCTCCTTTTCCAAAGTATGCGGTCAGTCCAGGCCGGTGTGCGGCACTTCTCACTGGTGTCGTAATCTTCTGAGAAGAGGTCGTATTTATACGTGGGGGCGAAATCTAACTGTCCCTCGATGAAACCTCGAAAGACCTGCGGAAGATATTTGAAGAAAACGTTTATTTAATTAGGTTTGATCTTTTTTTATGACTGAACAAGTTTGCATGACTGAAGAGATTCTTTCTTTCTTTATGGGAAAATTTCTTTGTAATAAATTTATTCAAACAATTTCCACTTGGAGCAGTAGTAGCCTATAAACTAATACCTTTAAAAATGATTAAAATTCAAATGTTTGCATCAAAATAAATGACATTATATTCTAAATATATTGAGCTATATTTTTTTAATACAGACCACTCTAAATGAGGATTAAATATGCATAAGAATGCTAATTTATAGAATAAAACTGCTGTGCTTTTTAGGACATTCTCCCAAACTAGGTTTCTCATGTCAAGGAACTTTTTTTGTGATTAGAAAGTAAAATCTTTAAATGACTAATGCAGTGAAGTTACATAACTCTGTAACGCTTACCATTCCAGCATTCTTTTGTTCTACCAATTGATCCCCAGCTGTCAACGAATCCCAGTTCTGCTGCTTGATGAGGTCTTTCACTTCCTCATTGGGTAAGTTGATTCGATAGTTGAAGTCTCCACACCAGAACACATAATCATGCGCGTACAGCAGACGACCCTRGAGGACAGGACAGACGTCATGAAGATCAATCAAAACTTTTTTTTTTTTACTGATTTGTCTCTGGAATAGTTATTACCATGGGGAAGCTTAGTCTGCGAGTGATCTCGTTGTAGTCATCGTTTCTCTCTTTGACCTGTGACTGGCCGGCAGCAAAGTGGGAGCAGAGGAAGCAGATACTGGTGGTGTGGAACAACAAACGGATGGCGACGCCTCCTTTATTACCCGTGGCTCCGCCCATTCCAGTTTTCACCGTGTCAACGGCGACATCCCTGACAAACACAGCGACGGGCTTAACGTGTGTCGCTGCAGCTCTTTACGCGTTGCGTGTTTCGCAGGAGGATGTGTGCAGTTCATACCTGATGAAAGGTGCGTGTTGTGGGCGAATGAAGACAAACAGACAGACTCCGACAAGCTGCTCGGAAGCGAGCAGAACGTATTTGTGGTCCCTCGAAATATTCTTTTGGAGCTCAGCGGCCCAGAGTTTCTGGTTTGTAGTGCTGAAACAAAAAGGTCAATTTTTCTGATGCATGGAATTTCCTGAAACCAGCTATACTTGTTTTAAATGTGCATTTAAAAAAAAGAGTTGCACTATTTGTTTCAAATATACTTGGCACAAAAAGTAAAGACATTTGTGTTTGGTAGATTATTTCTTTGCTGTAATGATGTTAAATCTTCTACCGGGCACCGGGATGGCAGCACCTGTGGGTACCAGGAGCTCAAAACAAGAGTCAATAGCAACAGTAAAAGGAGCAGTTCAGCAGAGAAGATACAGTTAATTTTTCCCGTGTGCAACCCACATACTCAGCTCTACTGCTCATCCCACAAATGCATGTTCCTTACAAATGTGGCACCATTTAAAAGGGAAACTACCAAGCTTACCAACAATATACGTTTTATTGCAAAGAAGCATTGTTCCAACAAAGAAATAATCTACCAAAAACAAATTTCCTTACTTATTTTGCTACGTTTATCTGAAAAAAAATTACACAGGCAAAAAAAAAAATCAGTTCATTTATTGTTAAAATATATTAAGTATTTTCATAAACTTTAAAAAGCTCAGTTATCTCAGCCTAGAAACTTAAATATCTTACCTGGCACTGACGATGTTACCAGCATTCAGTTCAACCATTTCTTCAAAACCAATGGCGAAGATATCTACGGGGTTGGCTTTGCTGTCTGTGAAAGAAGAAAAATTAAAATATATATTTTTTGGGGGAGTCCAAGTGTATAATCACACAATTTTGTAATTGTAAAAAATATATTACAAAACCCAAAACTAGAAAAGTTGGCACGTTGTGTAAATCGTAAATAAAAACAGAATACAATGACTTGCAAATCATTTTCAACCTATATTCAATTGAACACACTGCAAAGACCACATACCTAACGTTCGAACTGGTAAACTTTGTTAATTTTTGCAAATATTAGCTCATTTGGAATTTGATGCCTGCAACATGTTTCAAAAAAGCTGGCACAAGTGACAAAGAAGACAGAGAAATTTGAGGAAAGCTCATCAAACACTTTTTTGGAAT